GTGCGGCGGCGTGACGGCGGCGTGCCAGCTCAAACCTGAAACTCCGAGCGACCAAAGACCGTGTTCTCTCAGAGCCAAGCGGATCCCGGCTGCCCTTCAGCGTTAGTTTTCTTTATGCACTGAGAGAAATTTAGGATGGCTGTATCACTTTGCATTTTTCCGTTTGACTGTTTCTCCATTTACGAATGTTTTTTTGACTTGCAGGGTGACTTTGTAGATAGAGGTTATTATAGTCTTGAGACTTTCACTTACCTTCTTGCACTAAAAGCTAAGTGGCCTGATCGTATCACGCTGTTGCGAGGCAATCATGAAAGCAGGCAGATAACACAAGTGTATGGATTTTATGGTAAGTCTTTATCCAAACGATTTCTGAACGGGGGCTAACGTGTAATAAACGGGTACGGCATCTTTCCCTTTGGGAACCCGTTTTGAGCGCAGCACGACCTGGGGCTTTCCTGGGACTGGATGGGAAGCGGGCTCAGCAGAACTTGAATGTTACCATTTGTTAACGCGATCGTCACGTTCGTGAAGTAGAACGTGTTTTAGTCCGGACCTCGCTGCTCCTTTCCTCCAGCATCTGGGGTCTCTGGGGTTTTTTGGTGCCACATTCAATTTTAGAGACAGAGAAGGAGCATGTATTTATACAGAATGTCCTTCGGTATCTTGTAGTGGAAGGTTCTACGCGAAGCCATGATGTTACTGTAATTCCCCTTAGGTTTCAGTGTAACTAAAAATCGGTACCACACAATAGGGTCTGCTGTGGAAGTCGTTTATTGTCAACAGTGAGCACCTGGGAAAATGCCACTGGCAAGAAATAAGCAACAGAACAACTGTTTGAAAAACTGAGGGGTTTAAATTGCTTGGAAACTTCTCTGTGGTTGTGTGAGGCTTTGATAAAAGCTGAGGAAATCCTGGGAAATACCTAACGCCTGCCACGAAGAATAATGTCTGTAACTTACTTTCTTTTGGATAATGTTCAACAAGGGCAAGTACAAATGTTCACAGGTCGCTTAAGGAACGCCTGCCCGTCAGGTTTATTGCCAGGTTCGTGAAGCTTTAAACAAAGCCACTGTAACTCCCATTTGTGGCAAGAATATCTTCCACCAGCCCTGGTCAGTTCAGGCTTTCTGCCTCAATTCTGCTGTATAAAATTTGCAAATCTAAGCGCTCGGCTGGTCTGGCCAAGGGTCGGTTCCCAGCCGTGGGAAGCACCGAAAGCATCGTCAGCCGCGTTGCGCGTTTTCTCTGCGCCGCCGGGCGTGTTGCTCGATCAGTGAAGACCAGGAGGCACCTCGGTCCCTGCCTGCGGGTGGGCCTGGCCAGCGGTAGGACCGAGCGCTTCCCACCGGCCCTTACCGGTGCTCCCGATAGGGCTTTTATTGTACGTCTGGCTGTAAGTGTTTGCCTGTGATCTCACTGTCTGAATTCCTTCTGATCCATTAAGAAGAAAAAACTTCTCTGTTTAACAGATGAGTGCCAAACCAAATACGGAAATGCTAACGCTTGGAGATACTGTACCAAAGTCTTTGACATGCTCACAATAGCAGCTGTAAGTGCAAACACTACATTACAAAAGTACCAGTAGATTGTCTGAATGTGACTGCTAGAATTAGTGACCTTTAAGGGTCACACTGGTAGTGTTCTGGGCTGGATTAAAATATTGACTATTTTGCACGTGTCTTTTTTTTTCCCTCCAGTTAATAGATGAGCAGATTCTCTGTGTGCATGGCGGTCTCTCTCCAGACATCAAGACACTCGATCAGATTCGAACCATTGAACGTAATCAAGAAATTCCTCACAAAGGCGCTTTCTGTGACCTTGTCTGGTCTGATCCGGAAGACGTCGATACGTGGGCGATCAGCCCGCGAGGAGCAGGCTGGCTCTTCGGCGCGAAGGTGACGAATGAGGTAATGATGCTGTTGTATGCGACACAGAATAACTGCAGGTATGAGATGAATTGCTCAACTACGAGTCTGGTATTTACCCCTAGCGACGAATGGATCAAGGGCGCTGTGAGATGATGAACCTTCCTTGCAAGACCACTGCGAGTAAGTCGTGGTGCTGGAGAAGGTTCACCCAGGCCAACCTGATAAAATGAGCCCTTTGAACTTAAAAGCATAAACGCAGCTGCCAGATGCGATGATACCGATCTTGCTTTTGAAAAGTACAATGCAGTGAGACTAACTAGTATCACTGGGGTTTGCGCGGAATACTTTTCTAAGGGTTTAGGAGGAAAAAAAATACCGTACCACTTTTCTTAACAATTCTTGACTTAATTTTTGTTACTTTGGAAAGCAGTGAGCAGACTCCTCAGGGCTGACCCGCGCTGACCTTCCCAGGCTCCTCAACCAGCTGCGTTGCGAGTGCCGGGCTCGTGCCGGGCTCGTGCCGGGCTCGTGCCGGGCTCGTGCCGGGCTCGTGCCGGGCTCGTGCCGGGCGTTGCCTGTTGTCTCTCTGGCCTTTCCGCCGCACGTCCGGGAAGGATGGAGCCTTGCGGACGGCAGAGACTTGGGCATCGCAGCTGTCACCTGTATTTCATAGGTGTTTTTCACTGCTCAGGTCTCAGATTTTTATTTTTTTCAGTGCATTGGGTGAAAAAGCTTCTCTTTGACCCCCTTCACGGCGTGCGTGTGCCAGGGCTACTGTGTGGGCGGTGGCATGCAGCCGCTCAGGGAAAACTGACCTTCCTTTTTTCCTTTGCAGTTCGTTCACATCAACAACTTGAAGCTCATCTGCAGAGCCCACCAGCTAGTTCACGAGGGCTATAAATTCATGTTTGATGAGAAATTGGTAACGGTATGGTCCGCTCCAAATTACTGCTACCGCTGTGGAAATATTGCGTCAATCATGGTCTTTAAAGATGTAAATACAAGAGAACCAAAGTTATTCCGCGCAGTTCCAGATTCAGAACGTGTAATTCCTCCTAGAACAACCACACCGTATTTCCTCTGAGACCTCTCCCCGCCTGCTGTCTCCCTCTTCCCTTGTGCGGCCCCTTTACAATATACTTTTTATTGAGCACTTTGCTGCTGAAATGCTGCCTCTTGCCTTTTTTATTTTTAAATTATCTAAATTTATTGTGTATTGCGGTGTCTGTAGCAAGTTCCCCCCCCCTGCCCCCGCACTAATTTCAGAGTATTTGTACTACGTCCTCGAAATTCATACTACTGCATGTAGTTCTTACGTGTTTCTGGGTTTAGACGAAACCTCTCGCCAGTCGTGGTGCCCGGGGAGCAGCCCGGTCCCAGCGCGTCACTCACCTCCTCCTTTGGTAAGTTTTAAGGAATTTCAGCAGCAAAGTTACTACCCAGTGTGCGCGGTGGGACTGTGAGTGCCTTGTGTTGTGTAGCGTCCGCGGCGTGGAACCGGCCCCTCCTCCTCCTCCTCCTCCTCCTCCTCCTCGCTTGGTTTCAGTGGATAAAAATAAAGCGGTCAGAAGGGCTGTTCCCCCCCCGCCCCCCTTTTTTGTTTTGTTTTCTTAGGATTCCCGTTAAAAGTACACAGACCTGCTACAGCTGTTGGATTTGTACATTAAAATAATTGTTCTGATTTTTTTCAGATACCTTGTGTTTTTAATAAAGCCCTACCTGACGCGGGGTGACTAACGCGAGGCAAAGCCCCGCCCCGCCCCGCCCCTCCCCTGCCCGCCGCCTCCTTCCCGGGCGGGGCGGGTTCCGGTTCCGGCGGGGCGGCGGTT